TATCAGATTGGGACTCGATCACAGGAACAGGGATTGAAACTTGGTGGTGTTGGTGCCCTGCTTTCTTCACTGACCTCCTTTCTGTTTGTACGGTGCTCCTGATAAGCTGATATGAGCAGCGTTTTTGTCCTGTTGACTGCCACCTTTTGACCCTGAGGAACTGCATGAGTGAAAAATGTTAGACCGAGTTGGTGCATAAGTGCTTGACATTAATGTCTGTCTTTCTACAAAAGATACTAAGCTGCCTATTTCTCTGCAAGTCAAGACACATAAACATAAAACATGAACACATAAAAGACAATCAGACATATAGGAAACAAACAACCAGGTTAGTTAAACTTATTTGAAAGAGAAAACAAAGGCAAACAATGGCATTATTACCCCAAATGTCCAATGTAAACGTCAACGGACTTCCTGACTTTTACCTTCCTGTAGTTGTGTGCAAAGTTTATGTGCAAAGAGGGATTACTGACATTTTATCATTTTCAATTTGATCTCCAAATAAAGGGATTCAGATTATTTGGATTCAAATAAACCAAAAGAAGTAAGTAGTAAGTAAAGCAGACAGAGACCCTCCTTTTCAGGCAGTCTACACCACAGTGAATCATGTTGTGTGTGGTTCTCTTATGTAGGAAGTGCTATGGTTTGTACTGTACGTAAATCATGAAATTTTGCAGTAGACTCTCTCTCTCTTATCTTACTGTGGTGATGCACTATAGATTACGTGAAACTTTTCGTTTTTCAGCCTGGTGTTAGTTTCCTCATTGAGGTAGTATTACATTTTTTCAAAACACGTATTTGCTGTAGCCAATTAGTAGTATATAAACTGTTTTAGTGGACAAGGATGAATGGACTGTATAACCATAATTTTCATTCCATTTGAAATGTAATGATGGGTGTAATGTGAAAAAAATAAATGCATAGTAGGAAATGTAGTTGTTTTTTTCTCACAGCAAAAATGGAAATAGTGAAAGAAAATAATAGCATTAAGGTGAATCAAGAATGATCACAAGGAGTTTAAGAACAGGAAATAGGAGGTTAATTAATAAACAGCAGCTGAGGAGAAGAGGAAGAGGAAATGTTTCTTTGGAACAGATGTCATTCTACATTTCTGAAAAAGCAGCATTCAGAAAACAGTTAGTTTACCTATTTGTCCTTGAACACATTGTTGAGGCACTGCAAGTTGCACTAAGATCTGAGGCTCACTGGTTGATCCGTAGAACTCGATCCAGTCGACCCTGTTCATCCACAGCAAATGATTTAGCTAATGTTAACATTTTTCTTGACAATACATTTTAAACTAAAGTTCAAAACTATTCACGAGAGAGAAAGAGAGCATTCAGCTCAGCATGTTTAGAAAGAAAATCATAATCAATCATTTCAGCAAATTCCCTAAAAACAATACATGTGTAAGTGACAAAGATGTTTAGTGCCCGAAGTAATATTCTCTGTCCAAAGACATAAACAGTGTGATATTTAATTGGTTTTCATGTGGTGTAGATGTAGAACTAACTTCAAAAATCAAACAAATTCCGCAAAAGAAAATGCAAATCAAAGTGTGTTTCCATGCACTATCATTATGTGAATATTAAGAGTTGGGCACATCAAATGAACAGCTGGTGTTGATGATTCTTCTGTCAGTGAGTAAGTGATATGATTTACAGATCTGGATGCAGATCCATAAACTTGAATACAACTGGATATTTCCAGATACAGGTCCTTTTTGTCCAGTGATTGATAAAAGGAAATGATAAGCTCAGTGACATAGGATTCTGATGGCTCGGACAACTTGGAACTGGTTCTCAACTGGAACCCTAATTTAGCTATAACACACATACAAATAAATACACAAAGAGAGGCTTGATAAAGTCATTAATATGAGATACAGCTGCTGCTCTGCATATTTAAGTAATTCCAATATAGACATCATCCTCCATATCTGCTCACCTACTGTAATATGCCACAGAGGGAAAAAGGTTAAAACGAAAATCAAGATATGTGAATCACTGTCATACTAAAGTAGATCAGAATAGTGATTTCACTCACCTGTAATTAAAGAACAGCAGGATGAGAGAGAGGATGGTGATGACAGTACTGCAGTACATCAACTTTCTTAAAGTCTTTAGTTGAAACAGCTGCTGATGATTGCTGCACATGTTGCCTAAGTTCCACTGCTTACGGCTCACATACATTTTACTAATCCAGGTGGAGAAACCTGGACAAGCAGAAGAAACAAATGATTCTTAACATTTACCTACATTTTTATGCTTCAGCTCCTGCTGCTCACACACACTCACTGGCGAAATAATTACAGGAAGCTAAAGCCTTGCTCCATTGAGAACAAATTAGGCAATATGAGCATGCATCCTTTCCAAAACCATGTAAGAACCAGACTTGAAGTCCTGCTCATAGCCTGTATGGAGAGCAGTGTTCATTTTATCACACAATAGGAAAGTGAAGGAAAGAACAAACTAACAAATATAAAACAACAGTCAGTGCCTACTGAATTAAACCATATAGTAAAGAAAACTCCACATGCACAGCCAGCAACAGTCAGGTGCTGATAGGTTGCAGGACTATATAGGTAAAAATCATAATAGACCTCCGCACACTGGAATGACTTTACTGTGATTTATTAGGGGGGAATCTGAAGAAGCTACTGTGACTCTTATGAATCTATTATGATCTACCCCCCCCCCAACATGAATTCCCATTTCATTGTTTATTGTAGTAACATCCTCAACTTAGAAACAACCATGTTATGTTTTGGCCACCAGTTTCAAATATTTCTACTTTGCTTCTGAGAAGTCTTGTCTTTTTCAGTCTGTTTGACATGGTGGGTGGCTCTGAATACTATAATACCCATAAGTCTCCACCATTGTTATGGAGAAGAGACGTGAATCAGAGCCCTATAGAGGTGGAAATCATGTATCACTCTGCTGATTACAAAATATCTCAACTGAACTGAACACAGCAATTTGAGTGAATATAGTTAATTCACTCTTTCCTAAGCTAAGCGGTTGCATTGTTGTTCAAATGCACTTCAGTGAGTGAATGCATCACCGTACAAGGAAGAAAAAAAAAACGCTGAAGGCCACAGAGTGAACATGTTCTTTGACAGGAAGTGGTGCACGTCACAGTTTCCCCTCTGTCACTCTGGTAAATGATGGTGATGGTGCAACAAGTCCTTTATGGATAGAATATTTCATTATTTCTTAGTGTTAGATTAACATTATCTTAAATTCAATTCTACTGAAAGAACACACAGTCAACATTATGCAAATATCCAGTAATGAATGGTGTTTAGTCTCCCTTAAATAGTTTAAGAGAGATTAGAAACTCAACCTTAAGCAAATGTATAGGTCGATTATAGCATACTGCTACAGTGACGTTTAGGCTTCAGTATTTAAATAAGGATATGTGGACAACCCTGTGTACATATGAAGATATTTAAAGTTGCGTTGTTGTTTCCTTCTGTTGCCAGGACAACCTCACCCACACAGTCCTGATGAAGAAATTACCGTTAAACTCTCAATAAATAGGGGAATAAAAGTCCCACGGGTTCATTCTGAACTTCTGCCTTTAGCGTTTGTGCATCAATCACATGGAATTATCTACAACCTATTCCCAAGATTGACACTCTCAATTTAAGATGACGATCTGAAATCATTTTACCTCAGTGTGTTTTCACTGATTTGTCTTCTTTTTTTTTTTATTTTTTTTTTTCCCAAATTTTTTTATATTTGTTTGACCGTTTTTTTATTTTGCTCTGATTCTCAAAAAAATTATTTGTTTAGAAGGAAACCTCAAATTGAACTCTTGAGACTTAAGAAGAAAATAAGAACATTTTCAATTAAACTATTGAAGGTAAAGGTAACTGGCTGTTTAAACATGTAAAAATAAAAACAGAGTAGTTATTAGCTTAGTTATAATAGAGGTAATTGAGTTCCTGTCCCCTATGTTGAGATGTCACTTAAAAGGAAATTTGTATGCACTGAGAGCTTGCTTTCTTTGTCACTCATGTCGCACAATGCTTTTGCAACAATTTGTTTTTATTTTTTTTTATTTTTTTTATTTTATTCTCCATAACCATGGTTTGGGACCCCCAGATAATTATCCCGACCCCAAAGGTTGAGAAACATGTCTTTATTAAATTTTAATAGCTTTATGATGTGCATGCATTTAAGCAAAAGGCACAAATGAGCAATTTAAATTGCAAAATTCCTTAAAACACACTTTCCTTCTGATTACTGGCCTTTAAAATACTTTTTTTAGTACAAATTTTCCTCTTTTTTTGTTTTCCAGGATTGTGTTTTTTTGTTTCTATCATGACCGTCAACCCACTGGTTTTGTGGAGTACTTTTTTCAGCCTCGAGTTTTTGGTGTTATTGATTCATCGCCAATGATGACAGTTTTTGTTGGAGCCAGCGGAGGTGGACGTACTGCGAGTTGAGCTGCTTCTATTTGGCTGTGCGGGTTTTTTTTGCGATCTTCGTCCAATAGCGGCTCGCCTGATCACACACAAATCTCGTATTAACAGCTTTTAACAGCAAAGTAAAAATAAACAATTTTTTAATTAACAGAATCTGGGATTCCATTTATCTTTGATCAAGCAATTGCCTAGTTTTTTTTTTGACAGTTTTTTTGATCTGAAGTTCTTTTTGGTGGCGTTGATCTGGACGAGACTCATGAGAAATGAGCTGTTCAATACAGCAAGGTTAAGGCCGCCGCCCTGAAAGCATACCTGCTTTATGGTCTGTTTTTTTACTCCTAAATGGACCCAAATCAGTTTTTTAGCTAAATGAACATCATGCTGTATGCGAAGAGAAGAACCTAAAACTAGAAGACCTGAAGACCAGAAACCTCATCAGGAAAACTTGTTTTTTACTGAAGCTCATAAATCAACTTGAGAAAGACACCGTCCCTCATTTGGCTTTCACTTCACAGACCTGGGAAGCTCTGTCCATTATTATTATATTGTTAACTATGAAAATACTGCCAATGGTCCTTGTTTTTTTTTTGGCTTGAGGGACCAGTCTAAAACCAGGGAGAGAGGAATTTTGGGACTAAAAAGAACTTGTTATTTCTGGAAAATAACCAGAGTTGTGAAATGCCCTGATGGTTTTTTTTTTCATTTTGACAAAACCCTGGGGCATGTGAACTCAACAAAGCCAAACTATAAATTCAATCCAGAGGAAACTATTTTTTTTTTTTCCACATTATCTGTCTCCCAATGTCCCTATTGTTCCTCTTGATTAATAGTGAAATGTTTTTCAGCAAATAAAGGAACAAAAAGTTAAAATTTAAAAAATGACCTAATTTTAACAGCTTTTAATGTAAATGATGATCAATAAATAAAATATGAATAGAGTTTGATAAAGGAATATTTTTTATTATTATTTTTTTCTATGGTTGTTTTATGAACTGTCCGTCGTTTTTTCTGCTTTTTTGATGCGTCATTTTGTCTTGTAATTATGTATGATCTAATCTTAACCGAGGGATCGGTTAAAGTAGATAGTTAAAAAGTCACTCACAAATACAACCAAACGGAGAGAACACTTAAAATACCATTATCACATATCAAATGCCAAGCATTTCCAACTAGAAAATAGTTTTCATTTTTGACATTGTTTGAAAGGTTTTTTTTAAAAAAGTCCTTTTTATCAAAATTACAGGCAAGTCTAAAACAGTTTTTTTAGCCTTGAAAATATATAGCAAATGGAGACTTTTTGGTTTTTACCATTTATGGGGGTGTAGGCGGGCTTGGCACTGGGGGTCCCTGTGAACCCTTCAGTTTTTTTTGAATTCCTAAACTTTTATTTTCTTCCCCTGCATTTTAACGGACTAAATTTAAATACACATACTATATTCGCGGTCCTTTCCTTCTATCTCACTGGTGAACACCCTTAAATGAATATGAAAGGTTTTTCCTTGTGCTTTTTTCTGTCACCTGCTTTTTTTTGTTACAGCCTTTTACCAGTAAGCAGCCAGGCGGCCCTTTACAGTAAAATGTTTTAAAAAGTAAAACACTGTAATAAATAATATTCAGTTTATGTAGGAAACCATCTTTTTACACAATAGTCTTAAAATATCCCTTGGAAGTAAATTTGATTAGTTTTGGGAAATCCCCTCAATAGCATTTTGTGTTTCCTCCTCTGTTAAGCCAACTGAAAAATATTTTTTACTTTCAAGCTTTTAAAATATTTAACTGAACTTTTGGAAAACAAACGAGTTAAAGCATCAATTAACGCAAGTAAAGAAATGAGACCTTAAGCCTTCTCAACAGGTTTGGAATGTTGGATATCTGGAATTTTTCCCCCAATATCTTGGAGAAAATGAATGGCTTTACTTTTTCCAAAATAAGAGTTAGGGACATGCAAAACTTGAACCCAGGAGAGCCTCCCTTTTTTGGAAAGCCGACCGCACAATCCCCCCAGTCCCCTTTTGTTTTTTACAAAATAAAAATATAATTTTTCAACTTTATTTAAAAATGAGGTCCAAAATATGTGCAGCAATGAAACCCACTGAGACCGACAGGGCCGGCAAGGCAAAAAGAAAGAAGAGGAAGGACGTCCTTATCTAATACAAAGCTTGTTGAAAAAAATCGAAATAAGGCCTGTAACAGTAAAAAATAAAACAAAAAGGACGAGAAAGAGGAAAGGTAGAAATGTAGATTACGGTGTTTCTCCCGTATGTAAGACTCACAGCAGAACTTTACTTCGGCTTTTTATGTCTTGAACTAATAATTCTATTTTTTTTTATAATATAATATATATATTATATATTGATAATATATATATATATAAAAATTATTACCCTGTAAGACAAATTTTTCCAGCCATTTTCACAAGAACAAGCAACCAATTTTTATAAACAATATTAATTGCAAGAAATAGACCCCATCCTAATATTTTGTTTTTGAAGAAAGCTTGTTAAATTTATTAAGAACTTTTACCTTTTTTTTTTTCACTCATTGTAAGCACCTGTTCATAAATCGGAAAGCCTTTGCCAATGTCCCCCAAAGTGGAGGTTTGTGGCTAAATTCCAGAAGTTTTTTTTCTGCCCAAAATAAATTCTTTTTTACTTTTCAATATAAGTTAATCTGTAATCAAGGTTTTCAGTGTCCTCCACCTTTAATAACAAAACGCCGAGCTTAAGCTTTTGTTACATTAATTAATTTTATAAGCCTTTCCATAATCTAAACTTGTGTTGTTT